AGTGCTGAGATCCCAAGATGCTAGCCACCAGCCTTCCTCCTCCCACATTTTACTTGTGCCATTCCTTCTGGGCACAGCAGCATCCCATCTCCTCATCTGAACCCCCTTTCCCGGAAGCCCCTCCCCTACCACATCGATGTGCCCTTCTCTGAACAGTCGCCAGTATCCCCCCGCCACACTGGAACACTTCCAGGGCGGGGCGGGACTGAGTCATCCCTGTGTTTATGCTGAGTCCTTGCAATCACTGTTTACTCTGTTGCTCCGTGGTGTGCGCCCATAGTCCAGAGCCAGGGAGAAGGGGGGCAAGCGATGCCCCGGGCTGCCCCCCGGCTCCACACCCCCTGCTCCCCTCATCCCCCTTCTACTCCTTCCTTCATTAGAAACTGGTATTTCAGCTTCTAAATGTCAGTTGCAGCCGGGAGAGGCAAGCACTCACCAGGTCTTCCTCAAAGGTAAATTTACAGAGCAATTAAATCATCACTTGCAGAGTCAGGGAGAGGCCCTGGCGAGGCAGGGCCCGCCCAGCCCACCTGGCCCTGCCTGTGTCTCCGGGGTCCACCTGGAGTGGACACCTGACCTTGCTCTGCGGGGGCCGCTGCGGGGCCTTGGGAAGCAGCTCTCCGCTCTGCAGAGGGGCCGGCAGCACCCCTGGCTTGTCCGGAGCTGGAGATGAAGGTTTGCCCAACATCTCTTCGCCCGACTGTGTTGTGGGAAAAAACAGGCCCTGCCTTAGGGTGCAAGAGGGTGAGGGGGCCCAGCTGGGCAGGCCTGATGCTGCTCCTGGGGGGCTCCGGCTGCCCAGCAGAGGCCAGTGGGAGTGAAAACTAGGGTGAAGCATGAAAGACGTTGAGCTTCCAAAGGGCTGCAGGCAAACCACACCCTCTCAGATCCTGCATGGCCCTTATGGGATCTCAGGGTCCCAGCCATGCTGTCCTGAGGAGCAGCAGGTCCAGGAAGGGGCAGGTCTGCCCAAGGCCACCCAGCAAGCAGGGCCACTCGGATGGATGGCTACCTCCTCCCGACACACTCCGTTCCTCTTGGCCTGGTTTCCTTGGGCTACGCATATGGGTTGCCCGAGTTTCAGCGCCAACTAGGGCCTGGAACTTATTTGAGGGCAGCAAATAAGGTCAGAGCCAAGAAGCCGCTGGCAGGAGTCTAAATCTGGACCACCTGTCCCACCTGGCAGCCCTGGGGCCAAGGCGCTCATGCAGATGGGCCGCGTGTGGCCCAGGAAGGCAGGCTTCTGCCCGGCTCGCCAGCTCCCTTGAACAGAGACCACCCCAGGACACCTCCTGGGATCTGCCCAACTCCCATGTCACTGGGGTCTCCAGGAAGTTTAGCTACAGGCAGGACATGCCCAACAGAGCCAGGTCTCTTGCCTTGGCTCCAGTCCAGCAGAGGAGATGGGCAGCCCAGCCCATCTGGTGGTTCCTTACCATACAAAAAGACACCCAACGTGACTTTAAACAGAAAGAGGCCAAGCAAACCTACGAGAGGACTCTTCCCCCAGACTGGCACAGATCAAACCGTCTGGTCCTCCCCTGCACTGGCGAGGCAGCGGAGAACGAGCCGGTCACTCGGCACAACCGCACAGAGAACCAACTCTTTAGTGACAGCTGACGACCCTGAAAATATACACCCACTTAGACCCCACAGTTGCACCCCCAGGAATGCGTCCTTCAGTGATATTCACAAGTGCGTGACATGATGTGGCAACAAGAATACTCCTTGCGATACTGCGCGTCATAACAGAGGCTGCCAACACCACAAGCGTCCACCAGAATTCAGAGAAAAGCCACACGCCGAAATCCCACGCAGCCACCAGGAAGCCCCACCGTGCCCTTCCTGGCACCGGCTCCAAGAATGACTGTCAAGGTCAAAGCAGGGACAAAGAGCACTTCTCCTCCTCCTGCTTCCGTGTGGGAAAAGATCACAAGGTCACAGCTCCAGATGTGTGTATGCACGGACTGTCTTGGGAAGAAGACACAAGAAACTGGGAGGACTGGGAATGGGTGGCTGGGAAGAGTCGGAGACTTTGCTGTGTACCTTTTGTACCTTGAAGCTGGCACTGTGCACATTTTTATTCAAAAAATAAAAAAGACGTAAAAGAAAAAGCCCCCCAAGGAAGCTGAACTCTGGGTACCTCTGGCACCTACAAAGGTGGGCTCACAGGAGGTGCTGGGGCCAGGAGCCTCCCCACTCACTCCCTGTTGGGACTTGGGGCAGATGCTGTTTTATGTGTGAGTGGAGGGGGTTCCTGGCTAGCATGCTCACTGGCTGTGCTGCTGAGGCTTCCCAGCTCTGAAGCATCTGTCTGCAGTGAACGGGGAGGGTGGAAGGTGGGGTGGGATCCCCAGCCCCTGCCTCCCTTCCTCCCTCCCCCAGCAGAATTTGCAAGCTTCAGGACTTAAGCAAATGACTTCCTTGTGGTTTCCACACTAACGACCTTGCAGGTGCACAGCCTCCTGGGGTGGGGAGAACACACGTCTCTGGGATGTCCCTTCTACCCACAGGCCGGACCCACCCTGCCACGCAGCTGGTGGCCAAGAGCCCGCCCCAGCCTCTTCTGCGACAAGGAAGGATGACTTGGTGTCTGTGACCTCAGTAAAGACTCACAAACAACCCTGGGAGATGGGTTCTATGGTAGCCTCACGTATGGAGAAGAAACAGAGGCACAGAGAGGCAAAGAGGCTGGTCCAGCATTGCACAGCTATGAAGGGGCAGGGGTAGCGTTCAAAGCCTCATCAGCCCCACTCCAGCGGCTGTGCTAGGACATCTGCGCTTCCTCCTCAAGCCACGGCAAGCATGTGGCAGGAAGGAACAGCTGGCTTCCCTCTGCTCACCTAATGACTTCTACAGCCCTGGAATGTCCCCCAGTCCCAATCAGTGATCTGAGAGAAGAGCCCTCTAGGGACCCACGGAGGCTGGAGGCAAAGCTGAAAAAGCTGCACCAGTGGACCCAAACTCCTAGCATAGGCGCCGACACCAGAGTTCCGGAGCCTGCAGAACTTGTGACTCTCTTGTACAGGTGGGGAAACTGAGGCCCAGAGAGGCGCAGGTACCCAGTGCTAGCTCCACCACCTACTGTGTGACCTCGGGCAAGTGGTTTAACCTCTGGGTGCCTCCGTTTCCTCCTGTATAAAATGGGGATGACAACAGTTCCTCCCTTACGGAGTTGTTTTGGGGAGGAAATGAGATAATAGATGAAAAATGCTGAGAACAGTACCTGGCACATAGTAAGTGCTCAGTGAACATCAGCTTTTATTATTAATACTATCAACGCCCAGAGGATCCAGGGGAGCCCAGCAATACCCCTCCCCAACTTCTCCCATCACAGCCCAACACACATCCACCCTCTGTGCACCTACATACCACGCCAAGCCCACAGCCTTCCCCATCAGCTCACACAGGTGTGCAGTGGCCAGGGCACCCCAAGATCTCATCCGACCAAATAACCGGTGGGGAAGGCTGGGGCTCCCTCCCTCCCAGCCGGTTCCTCCTCTGCTGGACCAGTGAAGACATGATGTCAGAACGGAGACAGACCTTGGCTAGGGTCAAACAGGAGCAGAATTTGGGTGATTCCAAGGACAGGCCAAGGGCTGCGACTCCAGTTTCCCTCGGGAATCAGGATTCCCAAGCTGGAGGCTATAGTAGCACAAAAGAGGTAGTGGGACCCCAGACCTGCCTGCCACGGCCCTCGCCGCTAGCCCACCACAGGGTCACAGGCAGGCCATGCTGCCCAGCTCTCCTGCAGCAAAGCACAACCTCCCTGCCAAGTCACTAATGGGGGATATTAAATAATATTTATCTCCCCAGTTCCTCCCACAGCTCAACTAAATATAGCAACTAATTTTTTTGAAAAAGGATTTCTGCTCCAGAAAGATAATATTTATATAAGAGGTGGTTTTCATAAACCAATACAAAACCCAAAAGTCCTTTTCTGACACCTCTTCCTAATTTTCAAGCTAGCCCTGAGTAGTAGGATCCCAGGGCTAGAATACCTTCCCCTCTGGCTGGCTGGGAACCCCAAAAGGGCAAGGCTCCAAGTCCCCAGAGGATGCAGACCCTCTGAAGATGGTGAGGGCATTTCTCCTGGGATCCCTCACATTCTGCCCCACGCTGAGGGCATGAGCAAGGGGGTGGCAGGTCCTGCCTGGAAGGGATGTGGGGAGGGCACGTCTGTATCTTCCACCCTCATGGGACCTCCAAGGTGCCAGGCCACATCTGGACAGTACCCGGTGGCACTCAATGTGCCTTCTAGCAGAAACGAGGATCCCACACTCCTTTGAAGGAGGTGAGGACGAAATGATACCCCTCCACCCGAACAGCAAGGGCGTGAAGCCTCCCTCCCTCCCCAGAGATGGGAAGGGCCTCCCTGGCAGCTCCCTGAGGCCTTGACTCCGCCACCCCAGGAAGGTGGGTCTCCCGCCTCAGCAGTTCAAAGCCCCCACCGACTCCGCCAGCCACATCCGCTTCGGGTTGCAGAAAGAGGAAGACCTGGGGTGGGGGTGGGGGCCCCAAGGCTGCTGGCTGATAAGCGGCACCTTCTTGGGCGTTTCTGGAGCCCTCAGGGGAGACCCTGGGGCCAGCTGGGAGGCCGAGCCTGAGTCTCCGGCCGTCCCTCGCCCGCCGGTGTCAGCGCTGCACCTGCACGATACCGGCGGAGAGGCGCGGCGTGGGGGGTGGAATACGGTCCAGGATGGGGTGGAATAACGCTTCCAGGGTGGACGGGGCCGGGGTGGAGGTGGGAAGTCCGGGAGGACCGCGCAGAGGGTGCCAGGCGTCCGGTCTCCCCAGCTGGAACCCGACCCCAGCCCCCAGCCCCCAGTCCCCGCGCCCGCGAAGGTGGCCGCGCAGCCCCGCCGGTGCCCCAGGAGCATCCGAAGAGGTTTCCGGAGCCCTCGCTTCCTGCCCGCCCAGAGCCGGGTGGGGAGGCAGGAGGGGAAACTGAGACTGCGGCGCGCGCGGCCCCCGCTCCCCGGCCCGGCCCGCGCGCTCACCGTTGGGGCCGTAGCGCTCCCGCGCGCCGGTCACCTGCGCCGCGCTCAGGCCGCCCTCGGCTGTCACCGAGAAGTGGCGCAGCACGTCGGCGGCCGGGAGCAGGTGCGCCGCCTCCATGCCTCCGCCCGGCCGTCTGCGCCGTCGGCACCGTCGAGGCCGCCTCTCCGTGGGGGGCTACAAAGCGGGGCTCGGGGGGCTCGGGCCCGGGCTGGCGCCGCGCGAGGCCATGTCCGCTCTGGGACCTTCCCCGACGGCAGTGGCGGCGGCGGCCCCGGCCCGCGCCAGGATGCTGCGCCCGGGACTCCCTCCCCGGGGCGGGGCGGCGCGGGGCCCGCCCCCCATCACACCCCTTCCGGCCGCCCTGCGCGCCCGCCGCGACCCGGGGCGCACCGCCCGGGCCCCCCGCCCGTTCTGCAGAGGGGAAACTGAGGCCGCCGGCGGGGCGCGCGCTGGGCCCCTGTTGGGAGCCGGAGGCGCTTGGCTCGGGGGTCCTGGATTCCGGTCCGCGGAGCTGCTGGGGTGGGATCTGGCCGAGAGCTGGGGCGGGCTGCGGAGCACCCGGCTCTGGGCTGCGCATCGCCTCCTCTGAGTTCTCCTGGGCCCGGGGCGTCCGGCTTCCCAGCTCGAATTCTGCAAAGTGGCTTCAGAGGGAACCCGAAAGCCTCTGAATAAGCGGGTTTCCCCTAGAGGAAAGCGCTGGGTGTTCTCCATATTTGGTGTTTCTGCTTTCTTTATTATACCTGATGCAAACGACGAGTTGATGGGTGCTGACGAGTTGATGGGTGCAGCACACCAACATGGCACATGTATACATATGCAACAAACCTGCACGTTGTGCACATGTACCCTAGAACTTAAAGTATAATAATAATAAAATGAAAAAAAAAAAAAGAAAGTTCAGAAAACCAGGCTCCTTACCCTAGACTCACACCGTCACCCCAGCAGGAAATGTAACCAGGGAGCAAGGGTGGGGCTCCCCAGAGCGGCCCGAGAGGGTGGGGTGGGGGTCTCTGCCCAGGGCTCCCAGGGGACTGACCCTGGCTCAGGGAGGGGGAGAGATGGATGAGACCCAGCCCCAGCGCTCCCGGGCTCCACCCGCCCCAGGAGGGCCAGGAGAAGCGGCAGCGGGTCAAAAGAGGAAGTCGCAGGAAGGCAGAAACCCGGCCAAAAGGAGGAGCTAAGAGAACAACCTGATTGACGCTCCCTCGAGCTTGACAGACCCAGACAACCTCACCCCAGCCCCCATGTGTCTCCCCCCACGAGCTGGGCTCTGCTGTCTAGAGCCTCAGCCTCTGCCATCCACCAAGGCTGCACAGGGTCAAGAGATGCCAGGATTGAGCCCGCACAGCTGGCTGTTCAAACCCCAAACCCCTTCTGTGCCTCCATAGTCAGGAAGCTTTCCCAGATAGCTGCAGCTGTGCCCTGCCCCAAGGACACAGCCCCCTGCCCACTCCTGAGAGCCTCAACTTCCAGCCTTGCCTGGAGCTGCTGACCCCTCTCCAGATCATGCACACCCCAGCTTCTGTGCGGTGATCCAGATGGATTCCCCGGATATCAGCTGCGTCTCAGCCTGGTGCTGTGGCGCTAGAGGAATGCTGGTTTTCTGGTTGTGGCTCCTCCCAGCCTGGTATTTTATTTATTGATTTCATTATTATTATTTTCTTTTTTTTTTTAATTTCTTTGAGACGGAGTCCCACTCTGTCACCAAGGCGGAGTGCAGTGGCGACATCTCAGCTCACTGCAACCTCCACCTTCCGGGTTCACGCCATTCTCCTGCCTCAGCCTCCTGAGTAGCTGGGACTACAGCTGCCCATCACCACGCCCAGCTAAATTTTTGTATTTTTAGTAGAGCTAGGGTCTCACCGTGTTAGCCAGGATGGTCTCAATCTCCTGACCTCAGGTGATCCACCTGCCTCAGCCTCCCGAAGTGCTGGGATTACAGGCATGAGCCACAGCGCCCAGCCCCATTATTATTTTTTTGAGACAGGATCTGGCTCTGTCGCCTAGGCTGGAGTGCAGTGGCATGATCACGGCTCACTGCAACCTCTGCTTCCCGGGCTCAGGCGATCCTCCCACCTCAGCCTCCCGAGTAGCTGGGATTATAGGCGTGAGCCACCACACCCAGCTTATGTATATGTGTGTATATATATGTGTGTGTATATATATGTATATATATATGTGTGTGTGTGTGTGTGTGTGTGTGTATATATATATATATATATTTTTTTTTTTTTGTAGAGACAGTTTCCCAATGTTGCCCAGGCTGGTCTGAAACTCCTGGACTCAAGCGATCGACCCACTTCGGCCTCCCAAAGTGTTGGGATTACAGGTATAAGCCACTGCATCCCACTCAGCCTGACATTTTCGATCTCAAGCCTGATATCCCCAGATAGTTCCACCCTATGTCTTTCTTCCCCACTGCTATAGTCCACAAAATTCCAACTGTATCCCTAAGTGGCCAGGAAAAATGTTAGCCAGGCCGTGACTGGGGAGAGAGCCTCACAGCTCCCCACTGGAGCCCTATTTCCCAGAGATACGGAGCCCCAGGCGTTCAAGCCGCTGGGAAACCCTTGCTCCACCCTATGCACACATCTTGGGGTCTGACTCCTTCTCTGCCGGCCCGAGGGACCTCAACTCCAGCCTCTCCCACTCCACCACACCCTCAGCTGCGAGCTGGTATTTGCTAGAAGGTAGGGCCAGAAGGCCTGACTGTTTGCTCTGGCAGCCAGGCCTGTGTTCCCTTTCTCCAGCCCACCCCACCCTACCTTCAAACCACCATGACAGGACGAACCGTTGCCAGCAACTGGGGCCCTCACCTGGCAGGCTCACACACCTGTCAGCACGCCCAGCTGATCGGCTGCCCCCGTCGCAACTTCTGGGTGCCCCTCCGGGCTCCCACAGAATCACACGCAGTCATTTCACACTCCAGCTGCCTGCCCCGGGGCTTGCGTCCCTCCCTGCTATGCTCTCTTTTTGTGCCTGGACAGACAGCTGGTGGCCAGGGTGACACGGTCACAGGCAGGCTATCCAAAGGGCAGGTCTACACTCCCCACCTCCCAGCTGCCAGGAACCAAGAACTCCATGCCTGGCACCTAGACATGGCTTTTGCCACCTCCACTGGACAGAGGGTGGCAGAGCATACCACCCGTCTAGCCGAGGTGTACCTACTCGCCGCACCTGAGGGGGCCCGGGTGGGCATGAGGAAAGAGGTCTTCCCTGGAATGATTTATTTATTGATTTATTATTTTTATTTATTTATTTATTTTGAGACTGAGTCTCGCTCTGTCGCCCAGGTTGGAGTGCAGTAGCACGATCTTGGCTCACTGCAACCTCCGCCTCCCGGGTTAAAGCGATTCTCCTGCTTCAGCCTCCCAAGTAGTTGGGATTACAGGCACCCGCCACCATGCCCAACTAATTTTTGTATTTTTAGTAGAGATGGGGTTTCACCATGTTGGCCAGGCTGGTCTCGCTAATTTTTGTATTTTTAGTACAGATGGGGTTTCACCGTGTTGGCCAGGCATGGTGAAGATAACGCAACCCACTGTTCCTTTTATTTTCAGTCCTTCTTTATTCATTCACCTGCCTCGGCCTCTCAAAGTGCTGGGATTACAGGGGTAAGCCACCACGCCCAGCTTTTTCTGGAAATATTTAGACACATGGAGAAGAGGGTGTTGCAGGCAGAAAAAACCAGCCTGAGTTGAAGGTGAGAAATCTCAGCCTTCAACCCACTATGTCAGGGATAGTGATTTGATTCCTTAGTGTGGCTGGATTATAAGGAGCAGGAGTGCAAGGACCAGGAGGGTAGATTAGAGAGACAGGGCTAGGACACTGAGAACCTCAATTGTCTATGTTATGTCCCGGGTTTTGTACTGAAAGCTTTTTAAGAAACAGAGAGATGGAGCCAGGTTTGGACTGTTAGAAAAGTCCCCCATAGGCCGGGCGCGGTGGCTCAAGCCTGTAATCCCAGCACTTTGGGAGGCCGAGACGGGCGGATCACGAAGTCAGGAGATCGAGACTATCCTGGCTAACCCGGTGAAACCCCATCTCTACTAAAAAATACAAAAAAACTAGCCGGGCAAGGTGGCAGGCGCCTGTAGTCCCAGCTACTTGGGAGGCTGAGGCAGGAGAATGGCATAAACCCGGGAGGCGGAGCTTGCAGTGAGCTGAGATCCGGCCACTGCACTCCAGCCTGGGCGACAGAGTGAGACTCCGTCTCCAAAAAAAAAAAAAAAAAAAAAAGAAAAAGTCCCCCATAGAAGCTGGTATGGAGAAGAGATTAAAGGAGAGAGCGATGACTGAAAGGACCATGGAGTGGAGCAGTCAGGGCCATGCCCCAGCACCCTGATTTCCCTCAGGCCTCCCCAGGGGAGAGGCCTCTAAGCCGTGTAGGGAAATATCTGTGATTAGAGCCACTGACTTGAACATTCACCATATGCTAAGCTTGTTTCACAAATTACCCCCATTTAATCCTCACAGTAACCCTGGAGGAGGATTTTATTATCCCCATTCAGAGCTGGCTTCATGGGCATGCAACCTGGACAGGTCAGCAGTTGTCAGAAGGACCGTCTGCTTGATTTTTGTTGTTATGGTTGTTTTTAGAGATGGGGGTCTCACTATGTTGCCCAGGCTGGATTCCAACTTCTGGACTCAAATGCTCCTCTTGCCTCTGCCTCCTCAGTGGCTGGAACCATGGGAATACAGCATCACGCCCACCCCCCAGTTGGTCTAATGCTCTGCAACCGCCATCTTGACATTGTGTTTTGTTTGTTTGTTTTTTTGAGATGGAGTCTCGCTCTGTTGCACAGGCTGGAGTGCAGTGGCGTGATATCGGCTCACTGCAAGCTCTGCCTCCCGGGTTCAAGCGATTCTCCTCCCTCAGCCTCCCGAGTAGCTGGGATTACAGGGGCCCACGACCATGCCCGGCTAATTTTTGTATTTTTAGTAGAGACAAGCTTTTTCCATGTTAGTCAGGCTGGTCTCGAACTCCCGACCTCAGGACATCTGACCGCCTCAGCCTCCCAAAGTGTTGGGATTACAGGCGTGAGCCACCACGCCTGGCCCTTTGAAATTCTTAATACGGTAATTTTCTCTTTGAACCTGTGCTTTGTAAGTGAAGCCCGATGGGAAAATGGAGCATGCTGTGAGCCAAGGAGACCCGTTTAATACGCCATCTCTTTCCCATAAAGTGTTCACTGTGCTCCGTGGGCACGGAAGTCTGGTGGACTCATGATGGCTGGGAGTTGAGTGGACTCCAATCAAGTCTAGGGTGAATGTGTTTTGTCT